TCTACGGCTCTCGAACACATCCTAGCGGTCTCGAGGTCCACGGCCCTCCCTGATCCCTAACGCTCAGTGGGCCTCCGTGGCCGGCTCCCAACACTACCCGGTAGCTGGGACTGAAGGCGTGAGCCACCACACCCAGCCCCAGCTTATCTTTACCTCCTTAATACTTAGCATCGATGGAGGAGGTTTTCAAATACTCTTCAAATTCATTCTGAATTTTTTTTTTTTTGAGTTGGAGTCTCACTCTCTCGCCCAGGCTGGTGTACAGTGGCACGCTCACGGCCACCGCAGCTTCGAACTGCTGGGCTCAGGCGACTTCTGCCTCAAGCCTTCCACGTAACTGCAGCTACAGGCCTGCACTACTATGCCCTGCTATTTTGCAGAGACGAGGTCTCACCAAGTTTCGCAGGCTGGTCTCGAACCTCTGAACTCAGGCAATCCTCTCACCCCGGTCTCCCCAAATGCTGGGATTACAGGCTTGAGCCATCACGCCCGGCCTTATTCTGGATTTAACGCGACCCGTATGGATGGAAACTTCCACCTAGCTTACGCAAGCCATCCCTAGATGTAGGAACACCCAGCAGCCCTTGAACGAGCAGAGGACCCAGAGCCATGACTCCTCCCCTATGCAGGGCCGTCTGTGAGGCCTGCGGTCGGTGGGTGCAGACGGTGAGGGCTATCGGTGTAGACGGACATCTTTGGTGGGCGTGGCCCGGCCCGGCCTCCGCGCAGAGGTACCAGGCGTTGGCCCCTCCTCGCCCCGGTTCCGAGGGGCGATCGTGCCCCCGTGAATGCGTTCCCGCTCACCGCCCTCCCCCTCCTTCCCCTCCTGCAGACGCCTGGACCTCAAAATAGCAAGACGTGGCAAGCACCTCCGGAGTCACAGGCTGTCCGTAACGCTGGGGGGTTGGGCTTGGTTGCCAGCCCTGCTACAGACGCGACCCCGGACTTTTTTTCCCCCTCTCTGTTTTTGCGTGGGAGTCTCACTCCGTCGCCCAGGCCGGAGTGCAGTGACACGCTCACGGCCGCCCCAGCGTCGACCTGCAGGGCGGCAGCGATCCTTGCGCCTCTGCCTTCCGAGTAGCTGGAACTACAGGCGCGCGGTGCCACGCCCGGCTGAGGCTTTGCTTTATTGTAAAG